TTTTTTTTTTTTTTTTTTTTTTTTTTTGTCTGAGATAGTATTCCATTATGTAGTTCTGGCTGTTTTAGAATTTAGATCAAGCTGGCCTCATATTCACAGAGATTCACCTGCTTCTGCCTTCCAAGTGCTGGGATTAAAGGCATGTGCCATTATGTCTGGCAATAAATGTAATTTTTAAAAACTGCCATTCAAAAGAATTTATACAGTTCTTTAATCAAAATCTTTTAGTTTGTAATTAAATTGATTGAAACTTCGTAATGGTTGTTGTTTGCCCCAGACAAGTAGAGGAGTTTAAAAGTTGAAAATCTTCATATTTTTCTTCTTGGGAGTGGGGGAGGAATTCAATCAAGTCCTTGCTTAGATGTTACTAAGTCCTCTATTTTTGTGTCCTTTCTTTCCATGTCTCTGGCCCTTAAAAGATGTTCCATTGTTGACATGTGCTCATGTTTTAATTCATTTTCTTTCTTTCCCCTTCCTCATGGAAGAATAATTTATTTTTTTAAAATCTGTCAATATCTATCAATAGCATATAAACGCACGTGTATTAAAGCATTCTGTTCTGAATGAAGGTTAATAAGCATTTGAGAAAATCAAAGTGCTCTTTCACAGTGAGTAGCTGTACATTCTGTTCCCCATAACCTACAATGGCTGCTGGCCACATGTCCAGAGAGGCACGGCAGTTGCGGACCTCCGAGGTGGATACTGCATTTAGAGCAGGCCAGTTGTAAAAGCTTAGAGTTTGTGGAGGATCCAGTGTGGTGAGAGTTGATGATAGAGAAATCCTGGAATGTTAACCTGCTGTAAATGACCTGGGACTCACTGGGAGGCTGTGACTGCCAGGAGCTGCTTGCTCTTCCTGATGTTTAGAGAAACGTATCGGAAGTGGGCTTCCTCCCCGCTGTCTGCCAGTCATTGGCTGGAGAACCGTGTTGTTCAAGTCTGGTTCTGAATTTTTAATAAAGAGCGTTGCGGTTTCAGTGCTGTTTTGTAGGCATCAGAAGAAAAAGGCCGCACCCCGTAAACACTTGGAGAAAACAGTAACGTGGGCTAAAGAAGAGGGAAAGGAGGTCATTATTGGCCGTCAGTCACTTGAAGATTAAAGAAGGCAGGGTAATGGCAGGCGGGGGAGTTTACAGGAGAATACGGGTTCACCATGACAACTCTGGATCAGCAGAACCGCCCAGCATCTGAACAGGCTGCTCTCAAGGTAGTGACCCCAGTACTTAGAGGAGCTTCTGGGGCCAGGGGCAGAATGCATCTGTCCAAAATACCCCTTGCCTTCTTTGGGAGGAGCTTGATGCCGTGATTGTCTGCGTTGCTGTTGGCAAGTCTGTGTTGGTCCAGGGATCACTGCCTCCCATCTCTGGTCAGTGAATGAACAACCAGAGTCTCGTCAATAAAAACATTCATTATTTTGTGTAACTGAGGGTGGTGTGACCTGTTGCCTCTTCTCTCCCCTTTCCAGTATTCAGAAAAGAGGACCAGGAGCCGGGAGCACGGTGCTGCCATGCGAGCAAGGCTTTTCAGCCCTCCAGAGGAAGCTGGAAAATAGGTTCGCCGGATGCCTTGACTGTGAGACCTGAAGGTGGCTGGGAGCTGGGAAAAAAATCCCTTCTTTTGGTCTCTATGGCCCTTTGAATGAAAGGTGACCCATGAAGAACTGATCCATGGAGAAACATGAGAATATGGATTCTTAGTACTTGTTGAGCAAAAGCCAAAAAGCAAAAGTCCATGGGCTGTGCCTGCCAAACAGTTTCCTCTACTGCTGCTCTGAGTCTCCGTCCACCTAGTGCCAACTCCCCTCCCACAATAAAGTAATCGGACAGCATCGTCCTCCCTTTCCTTTAACCTTCTCAGGGCAAGAGAGAAAGTGATGCCGGTAGGCTCCTCTATTTGAGAACGTGGTGGTTGGAGATTAGGCGCTGAAGACAAAAGCTAGCATGGGAATTCTGGGGAAATTCCAACAGAGTTACCTGTATGAAGTTCCCAGTTTTATCTTTTTAAAGAGACATTTTCCGAAAGACCATATATTTCTAGTTAGCTTACCAATTATGGCTGGAAAATATTTGAAAAAGCTTGACCTATAGTGGGCACGTCCATGTTCCTTCCCGCTTTCTAAACGATACAGCACAAGAACTGCTTATCATTAACGGCATGTCAGGCGCTAGGTAAGCTAGAGCTGGAGTGGCCACTCGTAGAGGTGTGTAGGTTTTATGCAAATACTTTGTCCTTAAGGGATTTGAGCATCTGCAGATTTGAGTACTGTCCAAAGCTTTGAAGTAATGATTGACAGGGATCACACTGCATCCAGTTCAGGTCCCGTCAGACTCCACTTTCTCATTTGGTTAAATGTTCCCACCATGGGTACCAGTTGACTCCTGGGCTTTAGCTTTAGAACCTCAGGGCTCTCTGTGTGTTCACTCCTGGCTGCTACCACTGGTTTCTGAGACCTTCAGCAGTTTGGAACCCGGCAGCTTTAGCAACAGCTCCAGCAGGGCTTCTCAGGGCTACTCGGGATCCATAAGACAACCCAGGCTATAAGCTTCTGCTTGTGCTTGGTGTGTAATGCTTGTATGAGACCTTGGTGTTTAATAAATGATTTTCCTATTGCAGGAGAAGTTGGACATTCACTTTGCAGGGTGGCCAATCAGGATAAAACAGCTGATAAAAGGAGTGGGACGGAACCAGAATTCTTGAAGTCCCCCTATGAAAGCTGATATGGATATTAGACATTTTGCTGGTAGAACTGTATAGCAAACCAATAAATTGACTGTTAATCATAGTCAGTTACAATGACAAAAACCCCATGATTATTGAGGTGTTAAAGAAGCCATGCCAAGGGCGCTTGTGTCCAGTGTTCGTGGAGTCATTCCAGGAAAGCTTTTTGATGAGGGTGACCTTTGGCAAGCTAACTTGGGGTACTGTCACTGTACCAGCAGGGCATCGGTATGATGGAAGGAGGGGCTGATGATGGAAGAAGAGCCGCCTGGAATGCTCTGAAGTCTGCAGTACTGATTTTAGTGCGGTAGTGGGGAGAGTTGCCAGAATGAGCCGTTTCAGTTTGTATTTTAATGAGATTTTTCTGATTATAGTTTGGGGAACAAAATCAATCCTTTTGTTCAGGGAAGCCAGAAAAGCAAAGGAGAGTCCAGTTGTACTCACCAAAGCAGCTAGCCCTGCTCCCAGTGTCTTTGCTGATTTACAAGGAAATGGACCTCAGAGGAGTGCCAGTGACAGACTAACAGAACTTGCTGCTAGCACTGACTGTGGGACCCTGCTCAGAGCCCCCGGGATGGCTGGGTTGCCCTGTGTTCCATCCTAAAAGGCTCCTTGGGCCTGTCATCTTGTTGAAGATTGAATAACCACCTGCTTCATGGGTTGAAGGAAATGAGACCTGTGTGGGTTTGTGGCTCAGGAGCATAGTCCAGGGTCTTGTCCTAGCCTAACTCTTTATGATCACACTCCAGCTCCAGTTGAATCCTACAAATGGCCGTGGGTTGTCTCTTATTTTATTTTTTTATTTTTGCTTTCTGAGACAGGGTTTCTCTGTAGCTTTGGAGCCTGTCCTGGAACTAGCTCTTGTAGACCAGGCTGGTCTTGAACTCACAGAGAACTGCCTGCCTCTGCCTCCTGAGTGCTGGGATTAAAGGTGTGCACCACCATCACCCAGGTTATTTTTCTATTTTTATTTATTTATTTTTTGAGTTATGTATTTTCTCCGCTCCCCTTCCTTTCTCTCCACTCCCCTTCTACCCTTTCCCATGATCCCTACGCTCAGGAGATCTTGTCTATTTCCCATGTAGATTAGATCCATGTATGTCTCTCTTAGGGTCCTCTTTGTTGTCTAGGTTCTCTGGGATTGTGAGTTGTAGGCTGGTTTTTCTTTGCTTTATTTCTAAAAGCCACTTATGAGTGAGTACATGTGATAATTGTCTTTCTGGGTCTGGGTTACCTCACTCAATATGTTGTTTTCTAGCTCCATCCATTTGCCTGCAAATTTTAAGTTTGCCGTCCTTTTTTTCCACTGTATAGTACTCCATTATGTAAATGTACCACATTTTCATCCATTCTTTGGTCGAGGGGCATTTATGGTGTTTCCAGGTTCTGGCTATGACAAACAATGCTGCTATGAACATAGTTGAGCACGTGTTCTTGTAGTATGATGGGCCGTCTCTTAAGTTCACTAATTATGCCACTTCAGCCTCTGGTTCATCTCTAATCTTGGTGGTTTTTTTTTTATGGTGCACATGCTTGTGTTTATGCTTGTTCACTTATGTATAGCTATGTGTATGCATGTAGACACTAGAGGTTGACAGTCCAAAGTGCCTCAAGCCTGGGTGCTAAGTTAGACAGAAATAGGAGGGCTGGGCGGTAGTGACACCCGCCTTTAATCCGAGCACTTGGGAGGCAGAGGCAGGCTGATGTCTGTGAGTTCGAGGCCAGTCTGGTCTACAAGAGCTTGTTCCAGGACAGTCAGAGCTACAGAGAAACCCTGTCTTGAACCGCCCCCTCCCCCCAATAAAAAAAAAGAAGTAGGAGGCAGCTTGTGTGTGCCTTGCGCCCAGGGCCTTGCACAGGATAGGCAAGCCCTTTGCACTGAGTTCCATCTCCAGCTGAGGTAACATTCTTTTGCTTTAATGGATTTTGTGCTCACGAGCACTTTAGTCAGGTTTCTGTTTGTTTTGTCTTGTTTCCCATGGGAGCTAGGCCTCGGCTTACTGTGCTGACATTTCTCACCCCTGCAGGAGCCACTTCACTAGTGGAATTTACCATACTGAGTAGTAGTATTGAGGTTCTGTGGAGGCGTGCGGTCCTGTACAGGACGATTCTCCTGCTCTAGTCTGGCCCACCTGCAGTCCTGTCTGGGAACTCCTTTCCTAGGGCAGCAAGCCATGGGTAAGGTCTTAGTCTTAGGAGATTCTAGTCATTCTTAGTCCCTGTAAAATATACACTCAGGGCTTTGGCAGCGTGAGCTGTGTCCGTCTTAGAGCTTGATGAGAACACACGAGCTGGGCAGCATGAACAAGGTAGAGTGAGACAAAGGGAGGTGGGCAGGTCCGTGCTCCTGGGCCTTGGGAACCACAGCATGCAACACAGATGTATTACTAAGTTGATCATGGTGTTCTGTCACCAGGGGCAAAGTCATTAACACATCTGATTACTCAAGCTTGTGTCAAGTCAAAAAACCAGCAAATACTCCAGTCTGGCCCGCTCTGCCGGCTCCTTGGCCCCAGGGATGGAAAGGCTGACTGTCCCCTCCACAATCATAACACCTCTGATTTACACCACGGCTTTAATCTGATTTTCTTCAGCTTTCTGTAGATGGTGGAGGGATCTCCCTGCTACTCTTTCCAGAGCAAACAAGAGTTTTGACTTTTTTTCTCTTGGTGCAAAGGAGCAGAAACCTCTTCTTTCTCATATTTGTAGAGTTGTGTCTTTGTCATTGCTGTATGTGTAGGAGCCAGCCATGATAAGCTAAATAGAAACAGACTACCCAAAGGAAGTTCTTTACTTCCAACCATTATCACCTGCCAGTGTAGGACTGGGCCATTCATAAGTTTAGTGGAGGCCAAGTCTCAATACTTAACCCTGAAGCAATCCCTGGTTGCAGGAAGGACCATAAACTGAGATTACCTGAGCACCACCCAAGAACAGACCATCCAAAGGAAATGCCTGAAGTTCCAACCACACTCACACCGGGACACCCCTAGACAAATGTCAGCCAACCAGGGGTCCTGAACCTTAGAAATCCCTCACTGTAATCATTCAGCCACACAACATGGCTGACACTTCGGGTTCCAGGGTCACGCATGTGCGGACGAGCCCTCAGGCAGACGTGCCTAATGGCCCCGGGAATCTTTTTTTTTTTTTTAAATATATTTATTTATTTATTATGTATACAATAGTCTGTCTGTGTGTATGTCTGCAGGCCAGGAGAGGGCACCAGACCTCATTACAGATGGTTGTGAGCCACCATGTGGTTGCCGGGAATTGAACTCAGGACCTTTGGAAGAGCAGGCAATGCTCT